CCAATTGCATTGTAATTCATTATCTAGAAATGTCATCGAGAGAACCGCAGCAAAGAAGAATAAAAACTTAGCTGGATTGATCACGACTAGAGATGACCTACAGAGCGATACGAGTTCTTTCTCGTGAAACTTTCTCTTTTCTCAGAACTCTTTCCATCTCAAAGACAATGTAATTGAAGGCAGTACAGAAAAATAGTTTCGCTCTGTTTCAAGAAGCCTTGTTCAGCTATTCGTTTGTGCTAAACCTGATACTCGGAAAGGCATCAGTTATATACATATCTAAACACTATCGACAAATATGCAGTACAATTTATGAACAGGTCTCTGAACATGGTCACACTGACGTACAACACCGATCCAGAAACTATAAGGCATGCCAGGTCTCATACAGGGACAATAACAGAAGCTCTTGCATGCTCATCTCACATCTGGGCAGCGTAGCGGCTGCCTGTAACCCGAGCGGGAGTAGGAGAGACGGAAGCTGGGGCTCTTGCAGAGGACCGCCGGGATCATGTTGAAGGCACGTCCGCTTGAAGCGTGGAGTCTCTGGTCGGGGCTCCTCCGCGGAAGCGAGAGGAGTCTGGGGAGATGATGTGGAAGGCACAGCGTGAGGCGGGCGACCGAGCAGCGAACACTTCCCGCTCTGCGCAGTCCAGGGACAGCGTGCTTGAATGCTTGCCAGCGATCATCCGAAGTGAGCAGCCACCAGCGACCTCTCTCTGCCTTTTTTTCTACTGATAGAGATTATGAGTTATATCGTAAGTGGAGGTTCCGAACATTGAGACTGACGTTTTGCTTGATTCATCTCCACTACGAACAGAACAGAGATGACCTATAGAACGATAGGAGTTCATAAAAGTGTATTTTCTTCTTCTTTTGTTTTGCAAAATCTTTGCAATATGATCCATATCGATGATATTATGCAGGAAGTCATTCCAGACAACTCATATTTTCGGTCTAAGACCAGCCTGCTTCGGCTATTAGTTTGTGCTGTACCTGATCCATGGATAGCTATAAATATTACCGGTCGATGTAAACACCATCTGCGAATAAGAATATGCACTGCAACTTATGAACAGCTCTCTGAACATGGCCACACTGACGTACAACACCGATCCAGAAACTATAAGGCATGCCACGATTCATACAGAGACGATAAAACATGTTTCTGAGTGGACACCTCCCATCTGGGCAGCGTAGCGGCTGCCTGTAACCCGAGCGGGAGTAGGAGAGACGGAAGCTGGGGCTCTTGCAGAGGACAGCCGGGATCATGTTGAAGGCACGTCCTCTTGAAGCGTGGAGTCTCTGGTCCGGGCCCCTCCGCAGAAGCGAGGGGAGTCTGGGGAGATGATGCGGAAGGCACAGCGTGAGGCGGGCAACCGAGCAGCGAACATTTCCCGCTCTGCGCAGTCCAGGGACAGCGTGCTTGAATGCTTGCCAGCGATCATCCGAAGGGAGTGGCCACCAGCGACCTCTCTCTGCCTTTTTTCTATTGCAAGAGATTATGATTTAGTTAAAATCTGGAAGTTGTGTGTAAGTGTAGTCTACGCAGTTGGAAGAAGATTGGCCATATGAGGCAAACTTCACGGAAGTCCGCCTCATGTGGGCAGCTGCCTGTAACCCGAGCAGGAGTAGAAGAAATGGCTCTTCCAGGGGTCCTTGAATGTACTCTACGTTCAGTTGCAGTTTCGTGATAGATCCCCGATTATATTCCAGCCCACGACTTGAACCCGCAGCAACATCTTTCATTTGAATGCTCTTGCATTGAGCTACTGAACCAGTCACATCAAAGACATGAAGACTGACTACAATAAGATACCATACTCCCGGACGAAAAAAATTCGAACATTTGATCAAGGTGTACAGTCGGTCATGTCGTAATCCCATGACAGACACGAATTGTGTTGAAGCCCAGGCAGGACATAACCCGCAGCTCACATCCATCTCTTGAAGGATCTTGCATTTAGCTACTGGACTGTTCACATGAGATGTCGAAGTTACTAATTACTTAAAAATATTATTATCACATAAGATACATCCAAAATAATTACGGCCAAGGCACGACTTGAACCCGCAGCACACATCCATTACTTTGAGTTCTTGCTGTAAACTGCTGGGCGACTCACACAGAGAGAGAGAGGTGATCACTGACTACGAGAAGATAACATAGTCCGGAAACACTGGACTGTCCAAGTTGATGAAATCACAGTTTATTCGGTACATATATATCTCCGTTATGGACTTGGACCCGCGGCACCGATCCATAACTTGGAAGCCTCTTGCTTGAACTACTGATCGATTTGCATGAACACACGCACTCACTAACGATCAGAAGATACCAAAATCCGGCGCTACTGAATTGCACCAGTGTATAAATTTACTCTATACATGAATTTCATTTATTTTCTCATTGAAATACACAATTGTACTAGAACCCATGCAGGGTTTAGATCGTCAGCGTAGAATCATGTTTGGAAGGCTTTCGCATTGAGCTAGCGGGCGATTGACGTGAAGATACGTATTGATTCATTATAAGAAGGTAGCAATCTCAGAAATTACTAGACTTTGATATTTTATAAATCGTGAAAGTATAAATTTTCAGATTATCATGAATACGAATTTAAATAAAGTTTATATATTTATAATTGAGTATGATGTGTGTACATTATATCGTCAAGTCAATTTTTATGTCGAATTTGCTATTTGATTGTATTTAATACATAATTCAATACATTGGATTATTTTGTATAATGATTTCTCAGCCTGGTTAATTTTTCATGTACATGTTAAATATCATAGAAGATGAAACCTATTATTTTAAATCTGAAATTTAAGTTCATTAAAAAATATTGATTTTTGAACAAAACAAGAAGAAAATCATTTTCAAACATGATAAAGTGTATTAAAAAAAAGGTGGTACAAGGAACCAGTCTGATCTCTCCTTTTATAAAATACTATTAAGAGACTAAAGAGGTTCAAGATAACTTTATTAATTTATGCTCATAAACTCCAATCATCAACATGAAATTTGTGATAAAACAATTACTTCACACCACAACATAACTAAAATCATTTCAACCTATGATCTGGACAGAGCACAAAGAACAACATTTGAAACTAAAATGTATTTGAGCTAATTTTAACTAGATTCATCTTCAGAATATAACATGTAAGTTTTTCATAAAAAAATATAAATTTTATTCATAGTAAATATTCTATAGATTTTATATGTATGTTTAAATCGATTTTTCCTTAAATCAAAATAAGTATGTAGTGGAGCTTGCATGCTATTTTACATTTTTTTCAGTGCTAAAACTGTGTTGTTTTGAAATTTTATTATTTTTTAAATCATCAAATTTCATACTTAAGGGATATACTACGTGTTACAATTCCAATGAATAATAAATATTTTATTAAAAAATTAAAAATTAAAAAATTAAAATAATGTAATACAAAAAGAATACCCAAAATGTAAAATCTTACATTTCACCCTTCTTAGAGTTTAACCAATATCAATATTTCAAAAATGTCATCAAAATAATGATTGATTCTTGAACTATCCATTTCTAATATTGTAAAGTTATATTGCATCTATAGATTCAGCCTAATACCATAAGAGATTTTTCAAAAGTAAAAGAGAGAAAAACTATGATCCAAGATCGTATATTGTTCTCAACTGATGATCTAAATTTGGTAAACGCTTCTAGTTTACTTTAATATTAATCAACTCATGATCTTTCGTGTAATCAAGATCGAGCACAGCGTAGATTGTATCGAATCTTTATTGATATTCGATCTAGTAGTTCGTTTCTCCTAAGCGAAGAAACGAAGTGCTAGAGCTTGTGTCAATTGTGGGGTGTGTCGATTATCTACAGAAGCGTTTCGTCGCATGGCAAGAAGAAAAGGAAAACGGGGTGGCGGCGGCGGCGCCAATGCTTCCTTTGGCTTTGTGCTAAAAGGAAGGGAAGAATCACCAGCATTAGCTAGAAAGTCAGCGTGTCAGTGTAGAATAGGATGCCGAAGCTGTAGGTTCAAATGGTGGACAACGGGAACATAATCTGAACTCCTTCCTGGACCTAGAGATGAACAACTTGTATTAGGCCGCATTAAAAGGTCGTCTCGTGAAGGTCCGCAGCGTTGTAAGATGATTACACATCCTCGTGATCGTACGTAGCTGGAATGTTCAGGAGTACTATAGCACACGCTCCCATGCGACACTGTCAGTGCACAAATGCCAGCCCATGATTCTCTCCCTGTGCTTCTGATTATTCCAGGCTCTCAGCGACCTCGTGAGCTCACGGAAAAACTGGCAGAAAGGGCCTTGGTGGAAATAACCGGCCTTGTACTGATGCGACAATGGCTTCTCGCATCTTCTGCTCTTGAAGTAGAGCAAGCCCGTGCTCTGTCGTGTCAGAAGCCGTTTGATGATGTGAAAGAAGCACATGATCCAAGACTTCGAGGACAATAAAAAGAGGCTCGGGGGAATAAACTGTGCTGAGAAGTGCTCCGGGCTTTTTGGTACAAGTGCAGGTTGCGAATCAGTGGCATTAATGCTCTCGACTTAATGACGCCCGTGACTAAATCACCTGTGTCAGAGTACTGCATGATTCGAGTGGCAACATTGGACCTGAAGTTGTACCTTGATCTCAGACACTCGAACAGCACAGCAGGGCTGTACCAGCAGGCCAATATGTGGCGACTTCGATGTTAGCTTTGGGGTTCTCCACGAACCTCATGACCACAATAATTTGTCGGCTTTCAGCAGCCACTCGGATTCATGTGAGTGGCTGCTGTCCAAGACCGCGTACAGCAATGTCGTAAAATCGACCGGGCATGCATGGAAACAGCATTCTGAACGAACTTCTGATGTGAATTTGTAGTTGATCAGGTACATTCGTCACATGCCGACTGGCATTTCAATAATGCCTCTGGCGTGTAGTCGAGTCGAGAATGTGGAGTATATATAGCTCATATCCGGAGACCACTGCAGACCGAAAGCCGCATCAGCTGCCACTCGTAGTATCTCTGTGCTGTGGATTCCTCCCTGGCTCTGACTGTTCTCCCTAATCTAGACTTGCAACTAGTGGAGCTCTAGAATCTACCGGAGGATTTAGATGTGTGTAGCACACATGGATTTCAAGAGTTTCAATCAATTCTTCTCTTGGATGTTGGTTTGTTCTTTCGTCAGCTACCTGGCCAGTAGGTGCGCGTTCTCGGACCGACTTCCTCTGGGACAATATCAGGCTGAATGCTGTTTGAAGGTGGAGAATTTGTCAGCAAAGCCAGTTTCAGAATGGAGTCTACAAGACTGGGAAGAACTCACAAATGCCACGAAATGTTGTGATATGTCTGATCGTTACAGGTTGTCAGCTTGTTCCGCTGTAGCAAGTGCTCGGGAGAATCCTCAGATTGAGCCCAAGGCCGTTGAACCCTCAGATTGTTGTATGTTGCTGGACGCTTTGATGCGAAGACCTCATGCGGAATGGACATTCCGAGAGAGGCTCCATTACAGGAAATGGAACGAGTGCTGTGCTGAGCATATGGTGTACGAGCAGAGCATTCACAAGCACGTGAAAGAAGGCTCAGGCGATGATTGCTGCAAGTCTTTCGAAGCTCTGAACTGCACCTCAGCAGAAGATTTGAGTGCAGAGGAGAGAGGCCGCTTGAATGCAGGTGTGAATTGCTGCTTAAATAAGCTTCCTTTCAGCGAGATGAGTCTCACAAATAAATTCATCTCACGCTCCCCGTGTGGACGCTGTCAACAACTCAAAGATCTATTTTTTAGCTCCACAGAACAGGCTAATGTGGACGATGAAGGATTCTCTCGATCCAAAGCACGGAGAAACCTCTGTGGACCTCGACATGGATGCACTAGTGGACACGAGTATTGCTGCACTGGAACGAAGCGAGATGAAGTCGATGACGCCAGCTATGAGAGGAGGATTCGTTCCTCGTGCTGCAGACTTGTTGAAATTATGTGGCACGACGTAGGGGAAGATTTAAGTCCAAATGAGAAGGCCAGTGTCCTGTTCTATTCTCGATGCTGCCAAGGCTCATTGAAAAATCAGCAAGTCATTTATACAGACAAAGCAAGTAATACCGTCGCAAACAGTTCAAACTAGCAATCAGAACATGCTTATTTCACGAAGCAAATCCAAGCTTTTGTGAGTACAGAAGCCAGTAGTACTACTTCAACGGTAAGTATCCAAGAAACTGCTTCGAATAATCATGCTGTAAAAGCCTGAATTTTGTTCGTGACTTTGAGCCACTTCAGTAGCTTCTGTACCAATTACGTATATGACGAGGAATAGTACCTTTTTGAAGGCATGGGAGTTCTCGTTTTTACACATGCCTGTATACCATAATTTCCTCAAGATTCTGTTAAACTACATATTGATGTATATCGTCCACTGCCAGTGTAATAAATTAATCAGCCAGTGTTCTCGACCTATTGTGCATGAAATGCGGATCTTCGACAGTGAACCCTTCGATTATCTGAAATTCCTTGAGATATCTTGCAGACACAATTTACGTGCTTCGAGAAAACACGCAAGCCTCTTTCGGTATGCGACTATAGATGAATAATTATCATGAGTTTTTTTAAAATCAAATATGTGACGATTTCTACGTATTCACAATCAAAATCTGAATTACAGGTCTTGTCTTTTAATGAATTGTACAGATGAGTATTGAACACTTCACGGCAAAAAGCTGAAAACTGAAGGAAATGGAAGTCCAAGAACTCATAAAGAGAAAAAACAGATTTTCAGTAGTATAATTTGGAACAGATTGCCTGGTGTCGATTTTTCAATGGGAGCGGTGTTCTCACGTATATGACCCTTACACGTGCTGTCAACCGAGGTAGAAACTAAAGAATCAGCTGAAGATAATATTAAACTTTATATTCGACAGACTGATATCGAGCTTTACCTGTGAACTTGAAGATCTTAATTTTTATGCATCTTGTATAAGCTCATCTCTTCAGCTGTAGAACGGCAAGGACAAGTATTTGATCAGCTACCGAATTTGATACAGAAAGATGAATTACGTCGCTAGAAGATGAGTCAGGTGGTATAGCAGGAATAATAGTCCATATTGTCTCAATTTCATGTGACAGTGCCTGAGGATAATCAACCTCCAGTTATAAATAGCGAATTCGGGTGGTTTGTGTTAAAGAGCCCGTTCTTAGCTCGTCAAGCACTTTATACTCGTGCTCAACTTTAAAAAACGAAATTTCCATCGACCTTCTTCAGCTTCAGATGCAGATGTGGTGCAAAAGTCAAAAAGAGCACTTGAGGAGTAACATAAAACAAGCGATCAACAAAATTGGTTTAATTTTCATCATCTAACATGATTTTGACTTGATAGCATTGAATGCTGTATTCATATGACCGTAAAAGTCGAAAAGTTCCTTGAGTCACAATTTTCGAACAGTTCCAGAAGTTTGTCCCGCTTACAAATATTCAAATCAGATTGGAATGATATTTCTGTTGAGTACATGTGGCCAGAATGGAAATAGCAAGAACGAAATGAAATTCAACGTAAAATCACCTCAAACTCAGACAAGGGTATGACAGCTAAGATACGAACGTTACATTGGTAATGGGTGACGAACTTCAGGTTGCATCTGAACCACTAGCTCTGCCACCTGATAGAGTTGGAATGTGGTGACATCCTCAGCCAATTTGACCAAGTTAATATACAACATCCAATTAACAAAGCAAACAGAGAAAGACTTAAAATTCTGGCTAGAAATTATGACTTTGGAAAATGCAGGCTTCAAGTTCTGTGATCCACTTCTGGTCGGCGTGGACTTTTGAGATGGTCTCACATTGCCAATGGCATCTAAATGCTTCACAAAGTAAAATGAGTCGTGGTAAAGAGGTCATGTATCGAGAGGCCTAGACTAATTGTGGCCAGCTATGACCGAGTTCATTTGTTACGATTCATGATGAAGAATTTAAGTAGTTCCGTTTCTGATGGAGACATCAGATGAAGCTAGGCTTGAAGTCGTGTGCTGTTCCAGCTCTCGACGTTTTCTTCTCTCCGGTTTTATCGATTTCTGCTGCAACCTCGGCCTCCGCTGCATTCACTCCGGTCCCATGCGCCTATGATACCTGGGCACGAGGCTTCAACTTCTATTTATGACTTCCGACCCCTTGACTCGGACTTTAAGACTTACGCTGACCCGTGCATGGAATGAGTGAAAGATATGTGTCCGACGACATTGATGAAATTCAGAATCCATTACGTAGTTCAGAGCTGTACGACTATCTATCTAGAGACGAAGGAAGGGACTGCGCGATGCAAGGTCAGCTGGAGCAGCCGTCCCTCGGTAATCTGAGTTTGAGTCGTAACAAGACGAGACTGATTGAGCAAATTTGCCCTAACCTCAAACATGTGGACATGCATCTACGGAACTTGGACTGCACCTCGTACAAATTGCGGTGAGACATGAAAATTCTCGTAGTCTTGTTATTATCATTGAGACTAAAGCAGGAAAAGCTCACTGGTTGGAAAATCGATGATGAAGAGGAAGTCACATGGCATCTGCCCGAGAAGAAATATGTCCAGCAACAGGACTTAGTCTTCTTGTAACATAAACTTGTGCTCTGATCGTACAAGAATCTGGGGGCGTTTCTAGACTAACCCAGATTCAGATCTCAGCTTACATGTATGTCGCACTCCCAGATGCCCGACAGAAGTCATAACCAAAACTCTTCAGAACCGATTTTGAAACTAGCTGTGTAGAGTACCAAAATATATGACTCCACTGAATTTGGGAAAGTTGGTTCGATAGCTAGTTTTTAACTTTCGGATGAATCATGAATCCGCATGGCTCAATAGCCAATGGAGCTTCGGGATTCACAACGCCAAGATTAATCGAAGTTGGAATATTCATGTGACGTCGGCTCGAGTTGTCAGGACTCCTCCTGTGACGTAAAATGTAAAACACACCAGGAGATCCCAGGAGCCAGGGGATCATGGAACGCTTCGAACTGCACTCCTCTAACGAAACATGCTGAAGTAGAAATTCGAAGCCGTCTACTGAAGTTTATGCGCATGCTTGCATCGTAGTAATTAGTAGAATGTTGCGAGATTCGGAGTAGATGCGCCGCCTCTTGAAAACGTCGAAGCCCAGCTGAACATGGTGATAACGAAAACCAGAAATACACGTCAATAGGACCTCGAAGAAGGTTAAAGTTCAGCTAGCCAGCCAGCTAGCTGGCTAACGAGAAAGAAGTCATCATCATCATCTAAAGTTCGTTCCACATTTCCTTCGTTCCGAGGCATCAATCCTCGAGTCGCTTTTATGGACGGCGCCATGAAAAGTGAACTGCCGTCCTCCTCAGCGCATAAAGTCTTCCATCTGTAAGTTTGGCGGTAACACGTGTGTGAAGGCTATTTGCCTATGCATAGAATTTCACAATCAATCGTATCCTCGGTCCATATGACGATCACATGGGATGTGCAAAATGCTGTAATTAGATGTTTGTTGAATAGACGATTGACTGACCGCTCTCACCAATGTGCCGAGGTGTTAAACTCCGACGCGTTTTATTGTATACATCGAAGTACGATGTATACACTTTTATGCACTTGCAGCAGTTCTGTGAAGAGAATGAAAAGTACGAGTGATACGGGATCGTAGACAAACGTGTAACTTGCCACATATGCAGGAGAGGGTCCGAGACTTTGAGTTCAACGGCGTGAAGTCAGCTAGATGGATGGAGTCATCTGAATTTACTGGAGTGGATTCTGAGCATGTCACCTGATGAGATTATTCAGCAGTTTAGCAAAAACAATACCCGCAAGGTTTGTTTTGTTTGCCTTGGAAAGGAATACAGAGAAGTCATGATCGATATACAATGACGAGTTTATTGATGTTGCGTTGAATTTACTTTGAAGCGAATTTGGCTTTGAAGCAGGTGAAACTGCAATGGAATGACTAATCATTGAGAATGGGCCGGTCGAGTACTTCTGCGCTAGAAAAGAATCTTTACGTTGAACATGAACAGCTCATCGATCAGACTGCAGTTCAAACGCAGCCTTGATCAGCATCCGTCAGCTCATCAGGATTCAAGACAGCTCTATATGTCGGTGATAAATTGAAAGGTGTTTTTCCTGTGCCTGGAAGTGTTGGAATTCCGCACGTTTAAAAACTGTCGACATCATGACATAATGCTCGGATTTCTGGAGCTGAGCCGTAAAGTTCGTTCTGCCCATGCTAAGCGGACATCTGGGAGGCATACAAAGAAGGCGTATAAGCCAGCACGCATAGGAGGGGGCCAGTACGTGTTCTGCAGATCTTGGTCTTGGGAGTGCAGTTAAGGTTAGCATGCATGCCGCTGTATAGACACCAGCTATGGTTGTGTGAAAGCAGTGCACGAATTCTAAGCTTGCTTCGAACTTTGAGCTGCTCTTTCTGAAACGTCAAAAAGTTCCCCATGAACAGTCAAATCTAAAGTGTTACAGCGATCTGGTTTACACATAAATTTTTAAAAAGATGAAAGTTACCAGTAGCTAGGGCATTGACAGTTTATCAGTTATTGATGTGATAATTTCTCTTGTCAAATGGAACAAGCTTTGAATGCCACTCTCTCCATCTCAGCATAGAACTTCAGAACATTGGACAAGACTTCGAATAAGGGATAAGCTCGACTAGGACTGGGTTTAGTCGATTGAGTTGTCATTCTTCTCAAGCATGAGATAGTTGTAATCAGGCAAAGGGATCCTCATGGATTTACATAACGATGAACACTTAGGACTTATGTAGTTGATAGTTATAGAATCCATCCGAAATTTCCTCCAACATAAAGCGCATGAAAACATTTGCAAAATATGTAGAGCACGAACTTGCATCATATTAAGTTTCATTGCCCCCAATCTATCTTTATTCCCCACCATCTGAACAGCTGTACCCAGCTTGAAAACAAAACCGGCCACTGCAGAAACTCATCAATCGATAATTGATAAATTTAGCGAGCTCAAAGAAAGTGGTTGTTTCAAAGAAAGTAACTTGATCTTTTGACTGATCTACTGAAATTTGGTCCGACTCCTCACGACTCTCGTTTTCCAAATAAGAGTTTTCGCTGAAGTCATCAAAGATGGGGATGTAATTTTTCCTCTTAACGGTTGTTTTAAAAGCCGCTACTTGCAGACGATCGCCTTGAAGTATAGTAAGACATTAAAACCAACATGTTTTCACTTTGTATACAAAGAAAGAATACTTCAATTTTTGGAATATGTAAGAAGGATTGAGCCTGATCTTTGAATTCCTATGATCAGTTCTAGGGTTGATGACCATAATCAGTATCAAAATTATATTCTACGTTACAGACTATGAATACCTCGAGGATGGTGAGATTGTGACGGCTATCGAGCTTTACGTGTGCTTAGATCCGGTTTCAATGGCGAAGCTCTATTTCCAAAAAGGTTACAGTGAGCAGTAAGGGACACACCCATCCTAAAACCAGTTCAGTCCATAACGAAAAGCGACACGCATGGAGAGATGGGTCTTTTTCCTTTAGCAACTACTCCATCCCTCTCCTTGCAACTTTGTGAAGCCTCAAGGCAACAGGAGCTTCATAAAAGCTTTAAGCTTCTCAGATTTACAGGAATACAATCTGCATCAGAAAATTGGGTGCTTCACAAGATATAATTGTTTTTGAAAGGACTCAAGTCATGTCGTCACTGTCGTTTATTTCTTTGAATACATTTGCTGAACTAGAGTTGACCATAGGGAAAATTGGACCAGTATATTTCATGTTCAAGGGGCTGAAAGTAAATAGGGTTTAGTAAATTGGATATTAGTAAATTATATTGAACTTGCACTTTTAAAAAACGATACTACTGTTGTGATTCTTTCAATGATTTCAATGATTATTTTACTTCAATCTTAGTGGGTATCGTGGTTAACTTGATCGACACGTATAGATGGATCTCATCTTCGGGTACTGAATATGATCACTTATGATCTTGTGAGCCATGTGTTGTGGTTCAGATCTCAAGACGTTTGCCTGGCGTCTTACTCCACACTATTGAGAGGCAAAACATCCTTTGCGCCGTGAGAACTGGTGAGCCTTGATCTTATTTGAATTTTCCTAATTGCTCGACTTTCTGGGATTGGACGTAGGTTGGGGGAAAACATTGTCAGCTCATAATGACACTCCTTTCATAACTGTGTAATAGTAGAGACTCAACTCAGAACTTAATCAATGTGAGTCTTAAATAAACCAATTTTCAGATTGTTCACACGTTTCAAGAATCAAATTTGAAAACTTTTGAAGACATCTCCAGTCACAACTTTCGTTGACAGGAAAATAAAATGCAGAACCTAGAGTCCACTCGGGTACTGCAAGCAATGTTCCCATCTTGGTCAATTCGGAGGCTCACAAAGGTATATGGTTCAGCCAAGTATGCAAATTCTCTTGGAATTTGTACCCAAATTGACGTTCTATACTCGCATTCGAGAATATTAGCCAGAGAATTGTATCTAAGAAGCGTGGGAATTGAGAAGCATATCTAACATAGTACAGGTTTTCATCCCTGCTCGACATTCGTTAACTCGCGATAATTGCTCACAAGATGTTTTCCTTGCCTTTAATTCTAAAGATTCTCTCGACATATGCACGTGGTCCAAATTAAGTTCGAGTAGTTTCGCAACATAACCACGTGACTGATTGTCTATTTCTGCATCTATCTGCTAACATTAAGTTTCGTTTATTCCCATGTAATTGAACTCAACTCAACTCGGTTCGAGTGACTCCCGAGCAATGACGCCTTAAATATATGAAAAGTGAGGTTATATTGTAATCAAATATTCTTGGACGTCTAAACGTGTCCAGTTTACGAATTTACAGTACGTGTTTCAAGGTACTTCTGTTTGAAATTTGCTTTTGGTTGTTTTAACTGTTTCTCGAAAGTAGGTAGAAACTTGTATCCTGCACATCTAGGATCAGTTGCATTCAAGCTTGATCCGACGATAATGCACTTCTCGAGCTTTATAGTGCAAGAGATTTTCCGAAATGTTCTGAACTCTTGAAATAGAGTATGTGCAATTTGGAGATAAGGTAAGATTCGTGCACATCCTTTGTATGTAACACAAGTGCAGAGGCAGAGGATACGCTGTATTACTTGTTGCTGGCTCCATTGCAGATGTGCTCAGATCCAACTTTTTTTAAGTGTACGATAAGAGATTGACTCTGACAGATGCCGTCGTTAGAATTTTTCTTTTCTCTGTAGATCACGAAGAGCGTAGATACAGAGATTGGCCATACAGGAGCATGCCCGCCGTGAGATGCCATTACAATCGTATGAGGGTGTCATTCCCCTGTCAATATTTGGGACTGGGCAACTATTTCCTGAGATAACCTTAGATGACGTTGGAACCTGTTGTCGAGTCAAGTCTTTTTATGTGATTAATCCAATGTGAATGGGCACTCCTGATTGTACTAAAACGAAAACCGAGGAACTCGAAGTCCACTAGGGACCCAACCGGATCACGGGACATAATAATATGACGGTAAGTTAATTAGTACCCAGGAACGATGCCGGGTGGGTCTGTCCCGTGAACCCAGCTGCATGGAATGCCACACTTTGTGAATCAGTGGATGTTTACAGACGATGCCTGTATGAGCAATTTACCTCCAATCATAGTATAATGGTGTGAAATGCTATCCAGCTGATTACATTACTGTTTTCATATTGCCCGATTCGTGATCGCGAAGCTCCCATGATGTGTCGAGATGCATTGCAGGGAAAGTCAGAGAAAAGCTCAGTGGTCTTTCTGAAGTCGTGGTGTTACTTTTTCCTGACCTTGAGCGTCGGAATAACTTCTTCACCACTAGGATCTTAAACAACTCCCAGCTGGTTAAAGTGCCAGTCAGATCTATGAATAGAATATTCATGGTAAATGTCTTGAAACCAGTTCAAGTCTGCGTGCGCTGATAGTGGTCATTCAACCATTACGTTGTACATCCGTCAAGAAATCAAAGAACACACAAATACCGAAGATATGATTAAATTCTCAATAAATATTAAATGTTTCTGATTTACAACGTAAATGTGAAGAAAAGAAGAAAAGAAAAAACAGAAAAAATCTCATTCTCAACTGCCTACACAAGAACGTCACCAGGATTTAATTAAGGGAATGTTCTGCAGCCTTCCATTCCTGAGGCTATAAAGCGTGAACCAGATCAGGGTCCAAATAACTCGATCAGCAAAATATGTTCACCGGTACAAGTTTGTCTTCTGTAAGATCCTGTCAGTGGTAGGAATACAGTAGTAGCTCGTCACAGTTTCTGCATGCAAGTACAGCCTCCAAACTGAAATATTTACCGTGTGTTATGTATTGCTGCTAAAGGTTGACGAAGACATTGTGCTTGCAACGCGATTCCGCTTAATCTTCGTGCTCATCTGTCAGTGTATATATTGCTATACATACGACTTTCTGATTCAGTTCAGACTGCCGGGATATACTGGAATACTCATTTGCAACACCTCTGGTCTGAGGCGCAGGCTTAGATTGGCACATAAGCTTGAGGTGATTACTGCGAAAGATGTCTGCCCGAGCAATTTAACTTTTCAGTTCGATTCGAATGAAGGTCTAGAGCCGGGCTGGGATTTGGTTCGTTATAAGCAACGTAGTGATAAAAACCATGCCGATGGAGGTGTCAGATCTTTCAAAGGTGAGGCCGTCGACGAGGACTATCGTCGCGCCTTCGGTCCATCTGAGAGAGCAGTGGCTGCCGCTGTCAAATTTGGACCGCGTGGTGACGCCGACGTTCGTCAGTGCCATCTTTTTCTACAAAGACGTGCTCAGCTCCAGGCGAGCGTGCTGCATGAAGGACCTGACGGCATCCCTGAAGCAATCTCTGGCCAAGGTGCTGGTGGAATTTTACCCGCTGGCAGGAAGGCTGGAGATCAAGGAGGACGGTGAGGTGGATCTGCACTGCAACAATGCCGGGGCCATATTCTTCGAGACGTCCGTGAGCGCGACGCTGAGCGAGTTGGGAGGACCGCAGCCCATGCCCGTGCTGTCAGGCCTCGACGCGGCGCGATTGGGGCCGGGGCCGCTCTACATTCCCGACGCTCTGACTCCGATCCCGGCGCTCATCGTGAACGTCGCGGAGTTCCAGTGCGGCAGCGTCGCGGTCGCGGTGAACTGGCACCACACGGTCGCGGACGGCTCCGCCGGCTGCCACTTCTTGCGGTCGTGGTCGGAAGTCGCGAGGGGCCACAATCTCTCTCTCGTCCCGAATCACGACCGCCTGCTGCTGCTGCGACCTCGGAGCCCGCCGGACCCGTCCCTGGTCGCCGGATACAGCACCGGAACCCTGGACGAGGTTTGCCGAGTCCAGCCCCACGAAGCGGCGGCCCTGAAGACGGACACCGTGCTGGTGAAGCAGTTCCGGCTCCGGGAGGAGAATTTGCGGCTTCTGAAGGCCGCCGTGAATGCCGACGCGTCCCGGGAAGGCTCTATAGAGGCCAGGCCGTTCTCGTCTGCGGAGTGTGTGAGCGCGACGTTGTGGAGGATGATAACTAGAGCCAGAGTGCCGGAGGAGGAGCGCGAGCGCGACGGCGCGGGCGAGGTCTCGAGCCGCAAGACGAGATTCTTCATTTTCGTCGACGCGAGGAAGAGGATGAGGCTGCCGGACGGATTCTTCGGGAACGTGGTTGCGGCGGCTTACGCCGAGAGCCTCGAGAGCGACATCCTGCGCCGGCCGCCGTGCTACGCCGCCAGGCTCATTCGCGCCGCCACCGTCAATGCAAGCGACGCTTTCATGAGGTCCTTGATCGACTGGCTCGAGGTGCAGAAATCGTCGCCCGATCCCGTTTCTGCCAAGGCCGAGCACGTGCTGTCAGTCGGCCACGACGTGGCGGCGACGTTCTGGACATGGTTTGGCCTCTATGACGTCGACTTCGGTTGGGGGAAGGCCGATCTGGCCCTGAGAAATGCTCCGCCCCGGCATCTGATCGATGGCGTGGCAATGATGCCCAGTCCTGACGGTGCACGAGACATGGTCGCTCTTCTGAATCTCCATCGCGATCGCATGCTCAGGCTCGAACACGATCCAGAGTTTCGAGCTTTGTTCATGTGATCTCATGGTAGACGGATCATGTTACTAGCAGATTAGCGAAAGGTTTGTCGAGTATTCTCGATAGAAACTGCCTCGAACTACGCTCTTACCAGTACGTTGTCGCCGCCTGCGATCTGAGCAGCTTTGCAGAATTTAATAAACTTCGAATTCCAAAGTACATCCTTCTGGCATCACCGTAACCTGTACAAAGTGCCGGGCTAGATTTGTGCCAGCACTGGAGTGAAATTTTGTTCAATTCGCAGCTCAAGAGCTTCTTTGTTTCATCCATTCCCACACTTTTGGAATTGTTATTCTTTTTTTCGTATTTTCACTACTTTCCGGCATTCGGGACAAAGTTGTGGTAGTTCTTTATCCGCTCCCTTGGCAGCAGCAGCACAAGAAAGCATTTTTTAACGCAACATTTCACAAACAATATGTTCATAAGCGCTGGTCAGTTTACCGATGATGTGAAGTAACTCGATCGTGAGCTTGTCTGCAAGCCCCGTAGATGTTGAAAATGTAAGAAAGAGTTTGCTGCAAAGGCAATTTAGGAATGCCGCTTTCATGAGACCCGCTCGTGCAGCAATTGACAATGAGAATATCAAGCATTTTAAAGCAGAATAACCAAATCGCCTGCTAAATAGATTCAAATATATGTGGAAATTGACGCTATTGGTTTTAATGTACCTATAGATCTACAGTCACTACACGTCTCGGAAAAGAGCTCTCTCTCTTCGGCTTCCATACAGCAAGTGCTGACAATGCAATAAAGTACACAACTCAACCATTTGTTAGTAACAAGTTTGTTTGTCAGAAATTTCATATTGTCCCACTCACATGGAACATACAAATTTGGTGGTTACGTTCCATCATAGAAGAATAAATCACAAACTTGCGAAATTTTTCAGAATCGACTGGGAGTATGAACTGGAACTGACCTTTTCATGTCATAGAGATAGTTAAATGCATCTCTCAGCCATTCAATAAAACGCGTCGTAAACTGTGAAAAATATATAAGTGAAATAAAAAATCTTCATTAAGATTACCCCGTTTTGCTTCTACAATAATTATAACTACTAACTACTAGGTCACTAATGTGAACTTTTCGAGAAACATTACATTTCGAGCAAAAACCCGAGCAAGCTTTCATGTTATGAAGCAAACAACAGTCAACATGCAAGTTCGTAGAAGATAAAGCCCGTAGACAAAACTATAAACATGTACCTTAGATCCGAGTGATCCATAAAGGGCTGTGTTGTGTATTAAAGGCTGATCCCTCCAGTATTTGTCGAGAAATTTGTTGGTACAAAGACATCACAAGCAGATTAATCAAAAGTATACACGACATTGTTGAACTTGAGTTTCCAAGAATGCTGCACAATATAGACCAGTAGAAGTGTCAAAACTAACTAAGTGTCGAAAGTAGAAATAATCTATTACTTGTTGTCTGTTCACTTTGACGAGGATTGCGGGCATTCTAGTTTGGTAGAGATTAGGTTGATCTATGGAATACTTGCCTCGCTCCTTACTCTTCGTATGCAGTGTTCTGATTTACTTCCGTCTCCCATCAGTAAGTGAATAGATTGTCGCTCACAAGACGATCATACTTACGGTAGAGGAGTCCGTTAAGTCCCACATGATGTTGTCTAGAGTCTCTTAACGTCATACGTATGACAAAATTTCCATCTTCGATACCTTTTGATCACGTATAGAATTTTCTACCTACATATAGAGCAAATAGCTTTATAGAGCAAATAGCATCTTAGCAGCTTGCGAGGACTCAGGTCAAAATGTGTTCTTAGCGGGGAATTATTTGTTAATTGCACTTGTACTTTAAACGAAGTGCTTTGTGAACACTTAGAACAAACTTAGAACACTAAATGCTATTTGCAGTTGTCCCCTCAGTCATATTTCTAGTTCAACTTGTGTTTTTCAATATGGGGCTTTTTAAAGTGAACTCTCATCAGGATTGGCTCAACGAAAATTCTTGTTGACTTTAAGCTTCATTCCTTCTCACTTGACCTCATTCCTCCCAGCTCTCTTACATAAGTAGATTACAGAGTGATGTCGTCGTCTCGTAAAGAGTAGTGTTCTAAACAGGAGGCTTTAACCCTTTCCAGTAATCCAAGAGCATTGCATTCAAGTACTGAGAAGTGGGCTCATTAGTAGGTTACAGAGGAAGCTTATATTCCGTGAGAAGGTGCCACTTGTAAAATCTGCTTCGGATGTGATTTTTGTACACCAAATTATAAAACATATTAGAAACGGAATCTTGATTGAACTTGAGTTCAATTCCTTTAAGTGATTTTCGGGTGACATCTTTTCGTTAGAGGTACATTTAGAGAAGCGTTGTGAGTCCCTACTAGCAGGCAAAGTAACATTAACTTTCGGCATGTGCTGAAAGAATCGTCAGAGGAAGGGCAGCATAACTGACAGATGGGTGTAATTAAATCTTATCGTTAGAAGGAACCCTGTCACAAGTTCAATTTATAGGTCCTGACTAGCGATTGGATTAAAGGTTTTCAAACTCGTAACAATGCTAATGTTTCAATATCTAAGAGGAAATTACTTGACGTACCCGTTGGAAACTCAACTCTCTTGAAAGGATCTAAGGGGTTTCAATTCGACGGCCCCCTTCAGCCATGTTCTTATAACCTACTGTTTTGCTCTATAGAGTGGGGAGTGTCTGCCACTGTCGGGCCAGAGTCTTTTGGCGACTCCTTCCAGACATGAGTCTGAACTGTGACTTATCTTTCTACTCGAAATAACCCCAGATAGTACTGGAACATCACTGACGGTTGGTGGGTCGTACCGAGTAAAATGAAACTTGTTGGATCTTATCAAATGTTTACTCGAGTTTACTCGGGTCCCATCCAGTAATTTAAAATTCAGATTGAAGGAAGATACCTCTTGCAGATATAAGTAGATGAGGAAAAGGAAGAAAATCGGAAATTGTATGCGCGAATGAATGAGTTCCCGTCGCGCATAAATCTCAATCTTCAGACAATGGATGAGTTGCATTCATTGTCTGAAGATTGCACTCGTGCTTCTCTTCATGACAATATTGGTTTCTATTGTCAGAGCTAGTGTTTACTGGACAGCAACAGAACAGAAAGATTTCCTATCTGCTCTAATACAGGTACCATAGTCTGTACTCAGGCATCTACACGTCAAGCATTCTTGATTCAAATTTCATAAAATGGAAATTGAGATAAAGCTAGAGTTCCCATTCAAGACCAACGGTCCAGATGTTGGCGCAGTTGGTTTCTTTCTAAAATCAATCGCAGGAGCACGGCTCTGAAACTGCTAAAAGAAAATATGTGGCTAAAATCAATTTTGATCCTTCGTTCTGAGCCGAGGTCAAATCGTAGGCTTCACACTCTGTGCAGGAAATAATTTCTAAAGAGGTGCCTATCACTCAACAGACTTAACCATCCCGTTTCCATCTTAAAAGTGGATCGTAAGTTTCTGACAAGTATCAGAAATGCCTCGTGATGGACGTCAAGAGATAACTCTTCTGACCGAACTGCTGGTAGCCAGTCCACTGCAATATTGAAGAGTTCTCAGCAAAATGTCCGTCAACGTATCCTCGTGCCGTCTCAGAAATTGAATTTTAATGCTAAATTGAAGGTGCACGTGCCAAACCACAGTCTAGATTAACGACAGATACATTAAATCCAGCCGAGCTTCTGATAATTTCCCGGTTGCTGTGCTTTGTTGGCATGAAGATATTCAGGTCCTGCTCGTAGTCCACCAAAACAAAAAAAGTTGAGAATTGATCCCAAGGATTTCTTGTGTTACCTTGGATGCTCAAATTAGTTCCAGAAACTGTAGAAAATAGAGCTTCTGGTCAAGACACATACTTGTAAGGAACACAAATGAAACTACTTTGCTTGCACCTTGTAATTGGACGTATATTGCAGTTCTCAGAGGAGACCCAGGAAACTCAACAAACTTGATGGGACCCAACGGGTGTCCTTCTATTCCTACTACGTTACCCATACTACTAAACTCCTCGACGGCCTGCAACCCACCGTCAGCGATGTTGCATTAGGATCTGGGCTTATTTCGGGTAGGAAGCTCTGGGTGTTTTTTCGAATGCAGTCATGGAAAGACCCTATCGAGAATACTTAAGCGTCATGGTGCCTGTCGCTTTCTCAAATACATCGGGAATGAGTCGCCAAATTACTCTCACGGGAGAGAATATTTTCTCCCAATAGTGGCGTACACTCCCCACACTATACCACAAATTATCTAGTTAAAAGAATTTTTATTGGAAAATTGCTGAGGGTGAGATGCATGGTCATGGAGAATAGGGTTCATCGGGTAAAATGAAACCTGTTTAGTTTACTAGAGTCCCATCAAGTAGTTATTTCCAGTTCTCACTATGAAAGTCGAACATGGGAACAGCTAGCCAAAATACTTCAGTTCTGATGTCATGGTTAAAATGCAAAAGCCCAGAGTTCGAGCACATTTTCCAACTCATTCCCTGACCGCTCCAAGGCACGAATTGTACGAAGGATTGTAGACACAACCTGGAGAATATTTGAGGTAAACGGGTAACTTGTCAGACCTCTGCTTCGATTGTAAATTTAAAACCGATAAAGTAGTTTCCTTAAAGCGTTCTGCAAAGTATAAGAAGACTTTTAGCTTCAAAGAATGTAATGAGGCAAGAGTTACTTGTCACTATTTTCCCAGGAAACCGCTTTGCGTCTAATTTTGAGTAGAAACTTAACTACCTTGCGACATAGATACCGAAGCCGGGGTTTGTTGACAGTAAGCAAAGGTACAAGATTTCAAACCAAGCGAGGGACGAAGCGCTTTTGGCACGATTTGGACAATGCATTGACACAAGTTCCAGGCATCCAACAATCTCTGAATTCGTAGATAGATGTTTACTGATGATATATAAATAAATGTATTTTTTTGTTTAAACCAATTTGGCAATGGATCAAATAATAACTTCAAAATCTGCTTGTATCCTTGTTGAAACTTCAACAAATATAAGATATTGCCTTTAAGTTATTCTTAACTCACGTGTAAAATTATATTACAACATCCGTATTTTTCATGATCTTCTAACTTATATTATAACATCAATTATTGATGACATAACGGATTATAAGGAAGTAAAATTCACGGAAAACAGACTTGGGTTGTATAATGAAATGAATATTTAGTTTGGGGAAG